GCCGGAACCCTAGATAGCAGATCCAGGGAGAAGAGAGAGAGAGAGGAGGAGGAGGAGGAGGAGAGAAGCCTACCTACCACCGGATCCGGCGGATCTGCCACCACCGCCGCCACATCCCACCATGGCCGCGCATGGGGGAGAGAGAAGAGAGAGGGGGAGACGATGGGGCGCGGGGAGCCGGTGGGGCGCGGTCGTGGGGAGGACGCCGCTGGTGAGGTGCTCGCTGGAGAGAGAGAGAGAGAGAGAGAGAGAGAGAGAGAGAGAGAGAGAGACGGTCGTCGTCGCCGGTGTGTGTGTGTGAGAGAGAGAGAGAGAGAGAGAGTGGGCGCGGGCGGCTTTCTGACAGGTCACGAGTAAGAGCCTTCCTTAGTCACGAGCGGCTGAGTGCGGGTGGGAGGTGGAAGGCAATGCGGGCGGCAGCGCTCACGCATGCGCGCTCGCAATAAATCAATTCCGTATAATAAAAACAATATATTTAGACATAGTGTATATCTACATGTATATTTAAAAGTTAAAATAACTTATACGTTGAAATGGAACGAGTATATAGTTTGTTAGTTTAGAAAGTAGTTAGGATCATGAATGAATAATGATCGGAGGGGGGACGACCTAGCTTTCTGAATAAAGTAAATGTGTACAAAGTGTGGTACAGCCCGAGTCCAGTATTTTGGTCCTGTCAAGCACACCAAACAATCCATTGCATACGTTGTTTACACCAGTTGGATATGCAACAATTTTTGGAACTACAACTTCAGAAAAGGGTATTCGGTCTCTCAAATCCTCAAACGTCAAAGCCATCTGTAGATGGGTCCGCGAATTATAACTTCAGTGAAAATGATTTAGAGTCTGTCTGGGGACGATTTCACTCCTAATTCTTGTTGCCAGACATGCATAAATCCACCAACTCTACTTCAGAAAAATCGTGAGATATAGAAGTTTTAAGGAGAAGATCTAGTGGGACTCTAATCTAATCTCCCAAAATAGATAGACTGAACTCCATCTGACCCCGTCAAAGTTGCCACTGAGTATGAAAAACACTCCTCAACTGAAAAAATAGAAATATTACATTCTCCAGTTTTAAAACTGGACAAATTACTGCTATACTAGTTAAAAATGGTTTTGAGGGTGGTTTTCAGCTACGTCCTCTATTTTTAGTTCACACACAAATCCGAAAATCCCTAGATACTATTTTTTAATCCATGAAAAATACCTTCAAGCTTCCATAAAAATCTAAGAAAATCTTAGGGATATATTAGAACAAGATACACCCAAATAAAATATTTGGAGCTCATAAAATTATCTCTGGAAACTTTCAAAAATTGGATTGAACACTAGGAAAATGAGAAAAATATCAAAACATTCTAATCAATGATTAAACATATTATAAAAACTTTTCACAAAAAAAAGATGCGATAAGCATCGATGCAACTCTCAGCAATGCTAGTGCGTTCATGTTGGTTGCATCCAAGCATTTTGAAAACTGCTTGTGGAATGCTGGACATTGAAAAAATAGAAATTACTACTCCATTCTCTAAGATTTTTTCTTTTCATACCCTTAATCAAATGAGAATGAATTAAAGCGAATACTATCAAAGATTTGTAGAAATATTGAAGAGCGCTCTGTCTCTGATAATTGTTTTATATATTCAAAAAAATTGTTTTAGTACATTTAAGATAGATTTGCGTGCATTTGCAACATTATCACGGACAAACTGTATGTGAATCAGTGTTCGCATCGCATTATGCATGTGAGGTTCTGGGATGTTTAGTTTACGGCAGCACTTGGCCACACCCACAGCGGCGGCGGCACACTTCTGTGGCGGTGATATTCAGCGTCACACCTGTGGCAAAAATCTGCACTACAAAAGTTGTGGCTGCCAAAGCTGAAGAACCAACCAAACAACACCACAAATAAATGTGGGTGTGGCGGTGGCAAGTGGTGGCGTGCAACCCAAGCAGCCCTCGTACGAGTGTAGCTGACACAGGTGAGGCGACAGACAGTTGCTAACTTGGTATACACACACCCATGTCCCCATGGATCTCTTGCTCACTTCACTCCCTCACAAATCAACAGTTCAAGGTCCTATTTGGAACCACTTTTTTTTTGACAAGATACCCATTTGAAACCGCTTTTGTTATAATTCTACTAAAAAAAGATGGCAAACGGCCCCAAACGCCGCTTAATTTGGCTATGATAACCTCCTCCACACAGAAATAATGTGACCGCATAATCAGTTATCCTCGAGAAGTGGGAAAACCCCTCAATTCTCTCCTTTCTTGTTCGGCGCCATCTCCGCCCGCTCGACTCACCCGCCCCGCCTCTGCTCGCTCGAGCCGATGCTCCTCCTCTCCTTGTTTGGCACCGGATCCGAGAGAGGGGCCGTAGCTTGACGAATCTGCCATCAGACCTGCTTCCGCCTCTCCTCGTTTTTTTTCGAGAACGTGTCTGTTGACACGTGTTTTATTAAGAGGACATCCGCCTCTCCTTGCTCAGGCACCAGAGTCGGTGCATGATCCGAACCCGACAAATCTATCGTCTTCTCTAGTGGCAACAAGGATGGGCAGCACTTGCAAGGCAGAGATGCCTCCTCTCTAGCGGCGGCTAGCGCCTAAGAGACGAGGTGCCCACCACCAGAGTGGAGGGGAGTTGGCCTCCCCGCTCCACGAGTAGGGCCGGTCGCTAATTGGCGGCAGCCGACCTCCTCTTCCTTCTCGCCGAGCCCCTTCTCACACTCGTCGTCCTCATCAGAGCCCGAGCACATCCATGAGTTCTTCTCCCCTGAAATCTAGCATAGCAAACACTAAGTTTTTTCTCCCCATAATTCTTATAAAAGCTCACTGTGGAAGAAATCCAGCTTTGATTCAGAATGAGGCTGAGAAAAGTTGTCCCAAACAGGGCCCAATCGCTAATGTTTCAGTTCACTGATAACGTCACTAACGTAGCAGTTCAACTCACTAGTGTGTTCCCGGCTTCCCGCCGCTGCTGCCTCGCGGGGCAGCCTTGAGCTAGTGTGTGATCCATGGCCGATTGCCTGATTGGCAGGTGTTGGGTGTTCATGGCGTCGAGCTGGGTGGGGTTCACGAGCTCGATGGTGAAGACGCTGAGCCTGACGGTGGGCATCCTCATCTAGGCTGCCGTCCTCAGCCCTCCACCCAAACCAATCAACGCGTGGAAATCATCCAAGGGCTCGGCTCTGCTGCAGCATGGTAGCATCCGCAACAGCTGAATCAAGAGCTCTTGAAACAAACCGCCAGAACATGATCGCTGATCGGGTAGTTTGTTAGATATCCATTCCTAATTCAAATTAGGTTGTGCGTCCAGCTTCTCTAATTCTAGTAGGTCCCAATTCTTCTTCCGATTCTATGAACCAAACAGGGCCAAAAAGGAAACCAAACGCAACTAGATGATTTTTTTACTACACATTTCTTTTTTTGATGAATTAACATTTAATCTTGTCAGTAACCAACAAGATTTTAGGTTTTACTGAAGTAACTAAAAGTCTTCGAAATTTATGATTTTTCACAAATGTATAAACTTGCGAAAAATCAGGATTTTACACATATTATGCAAAGCTAAAAAAAAAACTACCCGTCTAAGGAGATGTGTTCCTGAACAGTGAACACGAAATGATTCGGAGATCAGCCCAGGCCTCCGCGCGTCTCCGTCCAGTGCACATACGTATGCACACTACACATTTGCACTCACATCATCTCCCTGTTCTACTGAAACTGTAAATCAGGAATCAGGTTATCCAGACAAGCACAGTTCTCACACTTTGCACCATTTCAGGCAGACAAACACAAACTCGATTTATTTACCAGACCTGTCGTAAATTCTACTTCCTTGCTCAAGTGCATGTACTTCACTTTGGGCGTGATTGGTACGCAGAACCGGGCAGAACCGGGCCGTCCTCGCACCGTTTAGTTGTATGACCTCATTCATGCGGTGTGTTTGGCCCTCCTCGCACCATTGGCCTATATTCTTTCATTCATCTTCCCTCCATCCCGCACGACTTCATCTTCTCAATTTCCACTTCCCTCTTCATGTAGGATGGCTTGATTCAGGCATAACGCAGGGACCCATGTGTCGTACACTCAAAACTCCCATCCACGCATGCAACCAAACAAGATCTCATCTCGTACTGGATCAACAACAAAAACAACCAAACACGACTAAGTGCACGGTTTGAGCATGCATCTCACCATCCTGGACCGGCTCTCCATCCCGGCTCCCCCTCGCCAAAGCAACCAATCACGCCCTTTGATCTTACATGTGGCAGCACAATGCCAGCTACCTGTGTAAGGAAGGCCCCGTCCCTAATCTCTGACGGTCGACGCAAAAAAATATATTCAAGGTCAAATGTGAACCTAATTACACAGCATGTCAACAGTCAAAATCTTGATCAGGAATTTCTAGAGAAATCAGTATCATGCTACCGAAGCTAAAAGATCATTAGTACAACCTTCATCATCAACACAGGATGAGTCATCAGCTGATAGCTTGGAATTGTGTAAATGAAACAAGATAGAATCGTGGTAGGAGATTAGAGTTCACAAAAGTCCATAAGTAATTCTTGTCACAAATGAAAGACATAAGTCCGGTCACGATCATGACCTAACCAGTGAGAACAATTAGCAGGCTGAACATGCTGCCAGCTGAGCAATATCTGGGGTTACCAATATGACATTTTCCAGTTCCAACTATGCCCAGGATAAAGTAAATTTCCACTGAGAAACTAGCCAGTGACAACATTAGGAGGTAGTCAACTCAAGAGCAGCTATGCAGAATCTATATTTTCAATAGTGAAATGCCAAGCAGCATTTTGCTTGAACTATATACCTCTCCTGATTCACTCAGAACTGTAATCACACTTACCAAGCTGATACTATCAACACAACACGAGACAACATTCTGGGGAATGCCTAGCAAGTATACACTGAATGACAAAAAAACAACTGACCAGCTCAGGAGAATAATAGATCGGTCATGTACTTGAGCTTCACCAATCAAAGGGGTCACTAACAGAAAGATCGGATGCTCTCTGAAAGTACCAGGCGCTGTCTCCCTCACGGACGACTGCCAACAGAGTAGGGCATTCGCTGGCTCGTTTCGCCATGGTCAGAGACTTCAACTTAGCGAGCATCTCATCCACTGAGGCTTGATCTCCATTGGCCAATACAATCACAAGCTTCAGCAGCGACTGTGCCCTCTCTAGGATGAACTTGAGGAACGCGAGCTCGCAGCGCTCTCCTCTGAATTTGTCAAACACCACCTTGGTGATGTGTGTCTCTAGGCAGTCGATGGAGCCAACCTCTTCCCAGAACTTCGAATTGAGCTTGCCATCTGGCTCCTCAACTTCATGAGACTGCAAAATCACCGTGTGTGTATATGTGACTCCACTAACAATGGTGATAATGCTCGAGGGTTTCGAAAGAGAGAGATTGAAATTAATAAGCTATAACGATATGGGGTGAATGGGATCTCACCAGAACATGCAATGTCTCCACATTGGGAAAGCATCTCAGGAAAGTGGGTAGCATCTTAGCTTCCTTGCGGATTCTGAATTGTATCTTCAAGGCCAAGATCTTGACACTTGGAACCATGCTAGATGGGATCATCTTTGTTCCACTCTACAGCACAATTGAGAACCATTACTGCCATGGATTAAAATTGAAGGTAACATTTGGATCGATGGCACATATAGATATAGATAGAGCTATGCTTATGCAATTATGAATTATGCAATGTAGGAGGAAACAAAGGAGAAAGAGATACCTCAATTATGGTGCTGCCAATCTGGAGCTGGTGGATGCTTGGCTCCAGGTAGCCGAGCACCTTGAGCTCGGTGGCGTGGCCAATCCTGACCCTGGTGCGGAAGGTGACGGAGCCGATGATCATGCATTGGCACGCCTGCCACAGGATTAGGCGCTGGAGGCGCGGGGCGAAAACCACGTCGAGCTCATCCGCCAGGGACTTCCAGAAGACAAGGCACTGGAGGCTGCAGCTGCGGATCCGGACAGAGCGGGTGTGGTAGAGGCTGGCGATGATGGCGAACTTCTCGAGCACGGGGCTGCAGGCGAGCAGGTGGTCGATGTCCCTGGCGTGGATGATGGTAGCGCAGAGTCCAATCTCCTGGAGGCGGGGGAACACGGCGGCGCGGCCTCGCGGGAGGGCGGCGGTGTCCGGGAATTGCCAGAAGCCGAGGTAGAAGGTGCGGAGGGAGGCGATGTGGAGGACGTCGACGGGGAGGCGCAGGGAGCGGGGGAAGGGGCGGTTGACGAGGACGAGGTCCTCGACTCCCCCCGCGACGAGGACCCGGAGCCAGTACTGGAGAATGCCGTGGCGCGCGGCCAGCTCCATGAAGCAGCAGGTGAGGCGCACGAAGCGGATGGGGCCCCTGTGCCCGCCGACGACGCGGGAGACGGCGTCGGTGACGGCTGGCCAGTTGACGGTCGCGGAGCGGCCGCCGCCGCCGTCGCGGAAGACGAGGAGGTCGGAGTCGTCGAGGACGAGCGGCGTGGAGGCCCAGACGCGGCGCCAGCGCTTGGAGAGCGCGGTGGTGCGCGCTGCGTCCTTGGCGGGGAGGCGCGCCACGATGTTGGAGAGCACCGCGTCCGGGAGGCGGCTGATGCGGTCCTCGCCGCCGCCGCCGCGGGGGCTGTTGGAGCGACGGGAGGCACCGGTGGTGCGGAAGGGCGGGGCGGGGAGGCAGGGGAGGACGACACGTATGATGTCCTCCATCTCCACGACGGCCTCCGGAGCCATAGCTGCGAGGCGACGGCCACGCTGAAGAGGGAGGGTTTTCTGGTGAGCTCGCGTGCTGTGCGGTGCTGTGTTGGGCGGTGAGGAGTTCGGCTGGGGTTTTCTGGGCGAAATCAAATGAGGGACACCGGCGTTTGGTTCCTCACTTTGTCCCCCTCGCACGCAGGCCCATCGGTCAGTTATACGGAAAATTAGGGACGCTGATTAGTCCGTTTGCAAATTAGAGCAGTGGTACACTGTCACTGCTATGTGGCAGCGTTCGGGACTCTCTCTCTCTTTTTGAGATGAACGGAGCTTCATTGATCAGATAGTTTCAGAATTACAATCTTTTGCTAGCAGTTCATGGATGGCCAACCGAGGATTATTATGCCGCTTCTCTCGATCGTGTGAAACTTGTCTAGCACACAAATGAGCAACCCTATTACAATCTCTATTTGCAAAAGCAAAGGTAAACTCATTGAAGCTCCTTGAGATAATCCTGATATCACGAAGGATGAGGTTAATCGCAGAGCGCTGATCATCCATTGCTTCCCAAAGGTTCACTAGCACCATGCAGTCGGTTTCTAGGCAGAACTTGGACACACCGCATTGCTTTGCCAGCAGCGTTCGGGACTTCGGGACAGCTTGTTGGTTGTTGCTGCTGCAATTCTACAACTACGTGCTGGCTTTACGTTTGGCACTTGAGTGATCCGATAGAGTTGCATCCACAGTACCTAACAAATGGAATATTGATCTCTAATCTAATAAAAAACGAGTATTAATAGATCGTCAACCGTAATCACGCCATACGCCAGTACCTGGTCGTGCACATTTTCGGGGTGGTGGGTGCAAAAACTAGCAAGCAAATCGAGATACCCAGCGGCTGGTACAAACCATCGAACACCATTCCTGCCACCGCCATCTGATTCCAGAAACTGAAGCATTCCATATAACAGCTAAACAACAAATCGATCATCCCTGGATTACTTCAGAAGTTCAGATTGATATAGACACAGCTGCCACTAAAACCAGCGACATACCTACCAGTCCAGGGCCACATTTCAAAACCGAAGCATTCCAAAATCACATGATTCATCTCGTCCCTTGATTGATTGCTTCACGATCCAAGTAAAACAACAGGCACCATGATTGTAGAGAGGAACACACACACATGCCCTCTTGAATCAGAACGAATACGTGAAAGACCACGGACCATCTAGTAGCTAAAGAAAATTGTGCAGAAAAACACCGTGGCGTCAACTGATCAACGAGATAACTTGTAAACAACGTTGTGGGCACAACCGGATGAGTACTCAATTAAACAGGTTCACCAGTTTGTGAGCATTTGCGCTCAAACCTGACAATCTATAACAAATAGCAACAATGGAACTAGTTCATTTCGACCAACAACCAAAAAGGCATTTGATGAAACAGCATTGCATCACAAAGAAATAAACTGTAGCTAATTTGAAACCTTAAGCAGCATGGGCTAACTAGCCTGTCTCATGTTCAAAGCTACTATAATGTAATTTTTTGAGATGACAGTAAACAATCTAGACAACAAATACGCCAGCGATCCAAATATGTCCTGCAATTGACAGATAGTGAAATGGGAAAGTTGGCGGTTCAGCAAAATGGCCCTGCGATCAGAGAAACATAACAGCCAAAACCTAGAACTTCAGCAATCAAAAGGGTCGCTCACGGAAAGATCAGATGCTCTGTGGAAGCTCCACACGCAGCCTCCATTACGCACCAAGATGGTCAACTTGCGGTCTTTGCTGGCCCGTTTTGCGCAAGCCAGAGGTTTCAGTTTGGCTACCATCTGCTCCAACGAAGCAGGATCATCTCCATCGGCCAAAACAATCACCATCTTGTGCAACAGCTGTGCTCTCTCCCAGATGAACCTAAGGAATGTGAGCTCGCTGCGGTCCCCTCGGAAGTTCTTGAACACCACCCTCTTGATTTGGGATTGAAGGCATCTGATGGGGCCAGCTTCCTGCCAGAACTTGAAGTTGAGCTTGCCCGTGGGCTCATCAGCTTCATCAGACTGCAGAATCAAAATGCTGCTAGTTCAATTATCCGTGATTCAAGTTAAGTATCATACACTGAAGATGGCGCAGATGCTAAATCAGGACAAGGGGGAATGGAGTCTCACCATGATATGTAATGTCACCACATTGGGAAAGCATCTGAGGTAGCTTGGCAGCATTCTAGCTTCCTTGCGAACTCCAAACCGGACCTTCAAAGCCAGGATATGGACACTTGGAACAATGGTACGTGGACTCGGTTTTGTCCCAGCCTACCGAAAAGTTTAGAATTAACGATTACTCGAATGTAATGCTAATGATGGTTCCACATATGAAGCTTATGGAGGAATCCATATATGTATGCAGCAAGCAGCATTGCCTGAGTACATCAATTTGACGAAATTGAGCTCACCTCGATGATAGTGTTGGAGATCTCGAGCACGTGGATCCTTAGGTCCAGGTAGCCGAGCACCTTGAGCTCCTGGACGTAGCCAATGTTGAGCCTGGTGCGGAAGTCATCAGCGAGACGGGCACCGGGGCACTCACTCCACAGGATGAGCCGCTCGAGGCGCGGGACGACGAGCACATTGACCTCGTTGGCGACGGACATCCAGAAGAGCACGCAACGGAGGCTCCGGCTGCGGACGCGAACGCAGTCCGGCGAGTTGTCGCAGGCAACGAGCGCGAGCTTCTCCAAGAGGGGGCTACACTGGAGGAGGTGGTCGATGTCCGCGGTCTTGATGTCGGTGCGGCAGAGCCCGAGCTCGACGAGGTGGGGGAAGGCAACGTTACCGCGGCGGAGGGACTCGGTGCTCCCGGGGAACTCGTCCCAGAGGCCGAGGTAGAGGCTGCGGAGGGAGGCGACGCGGAGGATGTCGGCGGGGATTTTCGCCTTGAGGGGCCAGCGAGGGCAAACGAGAACGAGGTCGTCGACGCCCTTGTCCGCGAGGACGCGGAGCCAGTCGCGGGCGAGCGCGCCGCGGTCGCGCGCCGCAGCGTAGCTGCAGACGTTGGTGAGGCGGACGCAGTGGAAGGGGCCCAGGTGCGCGGCGAGGACGCTGGAGACGGCGTCGGCGATGGAGCGCTAGTCGGTGCCGAAGCCCAAGGGGCCGTCGGGTTCGTCCGTGTCCGGGAGGAGGTGGGCGTCGTCGAGGACGAGCGGCGTGGAGGCCCAGACGCGGCGCCAGCGCGGGGAGAGCGCGGCGGTGCGGGCGGCGTCCTTGATGGGGAGGCGGGAGACGATGTTGGAGAGCAGCGCGTCCGCCAGGCGGCTGATGCGGTCCTCGTCGGCCTCGGCTTCACCGACGACGGAGCAGGCGGCGGCGGAAACGGAGCCCTCGGCGGGCGAGGGGATGGGCTGGGTGGGGATGCAGGCGAAGATCTCTTCCATGATGCCGCGGCCCCCCGTGGAGGCCATCGCTGCGGGCCGCGGCGCCGGACCGGAGAACGGAGAGGGCTTTGGTTGGGGAGGCGTCAGGCGTGGGATTGGTCAGGAGGTGGTGACGTAGTGGATGGTGCCGTGGTGACCAACGCCGCGCCGCGAGGATGTCCCGCTCCGCCTCGGGCACTGGGCTTGTAGGATTTCAGTTCCTGCCCCGGCCCAATGTCGGAACCAGATTTATCTGCGACCCACCAGCTAGTCCCAATCAGTTTAGTTTTTGTTGGCATGTTCTCAGTAAATAAGAACAACTTCTCCAGCCGTCGAGTTATAGCTGAAGTTTATCTCCTATCTCCTACAACTAAAAAAAAACTAAAAGTAAAACTATTTTTTTGTGTGATTTTTTTTTAGGTCACTCCTCTCTTCCGGCCATGTGATACCCCACGCGATAGAAAAAGAAACTATCATCCCTGCGATCCCCGCCTGTTTTGAAGGAAACAAATCGATCATCTGAGGCTACATGCATGGAAGGAAACAATAATCATGCATGGAATGAAACAATTGGCAAAGATCAAGTAAGACTCCACCCTTTCGGCCATGCGATACCCTGCGCGATAGAAAAAAAATGTCATCCCTGTGATCCCCGCCTGCTTTGAAGGAAATAAATCGATCACCTGAGGCCACATGCATGAAAGGAAATAATTGGCAAAGATCAAGCAAGACTCATCCCTTCCGGTCATGCGATAACCCGCGCGATAGAAAAAGAAACCGCCATCTCTGCGATCTCCGCCTGTTTTGAAGGAAACAAATCGATCACCTGAGACCACATGTATGGAAGGAAACAATAATCATGCATGGAAGAAAATAATTGACAAAGATCAAGCAAGACGACTCAATGAAGTTGGCCCTTAATTTTAGTGTTTCCAGCATGCAGACTGAAATTAAAAAGTGGCTGCTCCTTAAGAACATCAGTGGTGCCAAATAAAAGATGTGCAGGTTATACATGGTGAGACATGTGAACCTTCTGTAATTTACTAAACGAATATTCCCACCATTCGTATATAGGTTAATTTCCCTGCGTTTCTTCATGCTTCAATCTCCTACAATTAAAAAGATTAAAAGTAAGACTATTTTTTGTGCGACTTTTTTTGGTCGCTCCTCCCTTCCGGCCATGCGATACCCCACGCGATAGAAAAAGAAACTGCCATCCCTACGATCCCTGCCTGCTTTGAAGGAAACAAATCAATCACCTAATGCCACATGCATGGAAGGAAACAATAATCATATAAGGAAGGAAACAATTGACAAAGATCAAGCAAGACTCCTTCCTTCCGGCTATGCGATAGCCCGCACGATAGAAAAAGAAACTGACATCCCTATGATTCCCGCTGCTTTGAAGGAAACAAATCGATCACCTGAGGCCACATGCATGAAAGAAAACAATAATCATGCATGCAAGGAAATAATTAGCAAAGATCAAGCAAGACGACTCAATAAAGTTGGCCCTTAATTTTAGTGTGTCCAGCGTGCAGACCTGAAATTAAAAAGTGGCTGCTCCTTGAGAACATCAATGGTGCAAAAAAAAAGATATGCAGGTTATACATGGTGAGACTTGTGAACATTCTGCAATTTTCTAAATGAATATTCCCACCATTCATATATAAGTCCATTCCCCTGCATTTCTTCGTGCTCCAATTAGCATATAATATAAAAGTATTGTTGTTCATCACGACTTACAGTTGACTACTCTATTAACATATACTTACTCTGTCCCAAAATATAAGTCGTTATGGGATGTGTGCGGGTCAAACTTTTTCAACTTTGACTAGGTTTGTAAAAAATACGTGCAATATTTAACAATCAATTGGTCGACTCTTGAGGCCACATGCATGTAAAAAATACCTGTATTATAATTGGTCAAAGTTAAAAAAAAAGTTGACATCTTGGGAAGCGAGAATGAATTCTATTTTGAGGACAGATGGAGTATATGAAAGCAGTGTTAAAAATATTTTAACAATTAAGTTTGTCTCTGTCTAATTGGTAAGCTTAAACATCATAATGGCATCAAAATTTTCGACTCTCATGGACACCCTCATGGATCAGTGCAAAGCATCCTAATCCTACAACATACATAAATGGCAACCTTAAAGACCATTTTAGACGTTTTGGCATTAGAGTATATACGTGCAGACACATAGGCATGGTGGTGCAAGTGAGCAGCCAGCAGAAGTCGAGAGTTAGGGAGTGTCTGGATCTCAGGACTAAACTTTAGTCCATGTCACGTTAAAATTTTAGATATCAATTAGGAGGACTAAACATGAGCTAATTATAAAACTAATTACATAAGTTGTGGCTAATTCGCTTGCCAGCGTCGTGTACAGAATGGTATGGAGATGTGGTGAAACTTATTCGTGGATTTGTTGACGCACGAAAGAAATGGATATCAGAAATCTCGTCCTGTCGGTATAAAAAATAATCTTAGCCGCAACACGGAAAGATCTACACAGTAGAGTTTGTGAGCCTGCGACACCATGCTCTCTGTGACTGTGTAAATTTTACGAACTTAGCTTTTTGATTAAATGTCACTTTAACGTCGATCATATACTTTTATAGTATTGTTATCTTATCGTGCGATCCGTGTGTTTTTAGTATAAAAGTTTAGCTGTCCCGTAGCAACGCACGGGCACGAACCTATTTACGTATATACTCAAATCTGTGTGTACATGATTATATGAAGATGCAGTGGAATTTATTTATGGATTTATTAGCGTATGAAATAAATGGATATCGTAGAATTCTTTCTACCGATATAAAATATTATCTTAGCCGTATTACGAAAAAGTCTATACAGTAGAGTCTGTGAGCCTGCGACGTCGCGCTCTCCGTGACTGTGTTAATTTTACGAACTTTGCTTTTTGAATTAAATGTCACTTTGACGTCGGTATTTAATTTAACAGTATTATTATCTTATCGTGCGATCCGTATATTTTTAATAAAAAAAATTAGTTGTCCCGTAGCTACGCACAAACACACTACCTAGTTTGTCAAAAAAAAAAACTGAAGTTTTAGGAACGAGATCCACTGCAGTCCGCCTCGGTCGTTGCATCTGCGCTGTCCGTGGCAATCCAACGGCGATCCCACGAAACTCCACTTTCAGGAAACATGTGTCTCTTACAGTCTTCCAGCAGCCACTCGAGTGGCCCATCTAAAAGCCCATGACACTATGCGTATGAACAAGCTCGCCATGGGCGAGTCGGTCCTTGTTCTTTTTATCTGGCCTCCGCTTTATTCGTTATCTCGCAAACTCGTGCGTCAGCTTCCTTACTGCCTTAGCAGCCAGAACACAATGCAATTTACCAAATATAATACTTCCAATCCAAATAAAGCAGCTTGGATATGCTCGACAGTCTCATAGAGCTTTGCGTGTCGGGAGCTCTAGCTCGCCCACGATGGGCATGCACATCTCACCCGTCGTTAGAGCCTGAGCACCAATGTAGCTCCTAACAATGTAACAATGGCTTGATAGGTATCACATGGATTTACTCATCAAAATAGAAATTAACAGCCCTATTGAAAAAATTATACTCTACTCCATACAAGAACTAATTAAAGCATCACATGCTAATTTGCTACCATATAATTTGCTAGCAATTAAAACCACCATGTATTTTGCTAGGACTTAAAAGCGTCACATACTAACAATCATCAAAACCATCATGTAATTTGCCAGGAATTAAAATAGGTTTATATATACCAACCTTATAGAAGATGGATTCACCACGATTTGGATGCCTTCCACAAAATCCAATTGAAAAGTGTTCTCTAAAATAGAGAAACAACTAGAATGAGAATCAAGCAGTCTAGCTATCAAAACAATTGTAAAGCTACAAATTCAAAGAAGTGGATACTTTTTACTAACCTTAAAGAAAGAAGACCATGCCCATGTTTGAAAAACCAAGAACTTCATTGAGCATTTTGGTGAACAACGGCCGCAACAATGGAGGGAGTAGGGAAAACACGCGACTCCTGGGTGAGTGTGCTCGGGATGGGAGAGAGGAGGGAGGAGAGGACGACAGCTTTTTGTACTATGGTTTATCACTATCGACTTAAGCAAAAAACCGTCAGTGATAGCAGCATGTTACTACCGGTTTGTGGCTAGAACCTACAGTGATATATCACCGTCGGATTACTACCGATTCTAGTCACAAACCGGCAGTAATATGTACTTTCACTGCTGGTTTTTGCGGACCTCCAATCATTTTCCAACTTTGAAGCTAAGAACCGGCATTGAAGAGTTATCACTGTCGGTTCAATAGCAACTAGCACCGATGGACCGACACTGAAACTCAAATATGTAGTAGTGCAATTCAACTTGTCATGAGTGACGGCTTGTATCATTATGCACAATATGATTGTTGAAGACGAGGGAGTTGACGAAAAATATTTCAGATATGATGATTGTCGACAGAATATCGTCGGCAGTCCTCCGATGGGTATCCCACGAAGGTAGATTGATCGGCAGAGGAGCGTGAGATCAAGAACAAGAAGGCATCAGAGACACACGAGTTAGACAGGTTCAGGCCATTAGTATGACGTAATACCCTACTCATGTGGTCTGTTGGTTTGTATTAGCTATCGTATGATATTGCGTGTGTTTGGAGGGGGTCCCTGCCCGCCTTATATAGTCTAGGGAGCAGTGTTACAAGTTGGTTAGATCTAAGAGATAACCGGAAAGTAATAACTGATTACAGGAATCTTGGGATCATACATATCCTAACAGATCTCGTAGTATCTTTAGGATATCCTCCAGATGTCTTGCAGAAGGCGCCGACCAGAGTCGTGCCCTGCAAGGCTTTGTCTTGTGGGCTGGGCCGCCCCTGGGGGCACAGCCCATGTGGTCTGCCATGGGTATCCGGGGTCATACCCCCCACAGCTAGTCCTCGAGCACCTTGTACCCGTTGTGCAATGCCGTTTTGTGCTTGTCCGAGCAGGTGCGTGCAAAGCCGAGTAGCAAAACTCATGATCCGACCACCATGGTG